CAACTAAAACAAAACGACCTGTTATTGATTGGTCCCTTTTAGGGGTGAAATTTCAGCACTGCCACGCCCATCATCTCCAAACACAGGYCCYYCTTAGGGGTCATTTTCATAATTTCCGCCGAGGACCCCCGCCCTTTGATAATAGGGAGTCCTCCCCTTTCCCCCCGGGGGGGCACCACAATTACTCTTCAGATTATTAAAATCTTTAAGGCAAGATAAAAACAAGATTTTATAGTGAGAGAGAGTGCATGACTTTCCTCATCCTTGCCTGACTTTCATCAAAGGTACCTTGCATGTTCATAGACGGAGATAGAGCTGTATCATAAAGATTACATTTTGCAGCCTAGCCCCCCCTGTCCCTCTACAGATGGATTTTCATCTCACCTTTTGAAACAGAATATGACACTGTTTCTAATTTTTCTGTAATTTCAAACTTGATTTTGTCCACAAAGATCTCTTTAACATAGTCAGTAATAAAACCATACAACGTGCACCTCATCCTAGAACACACACAAAAAAATATATGAAAAAACAGAAAAAGTGAAATAATAATTATATCTTCTGTATGTGTTTTGAGTGGATAATGGACAGTTAGCACATAATGGAAAACATTATGAAATAATACATAAACGCTAAGAAAATGGATAATTTCATTATGAGAAAATGAACAAAGGTTCAATAGCTAGATCACTGAAAAAAGGATAAAATTAAATATAATAAACAAAGAAAAATTGAAGAAAAAATATTAAGTGAATCTTAATAAATGAATGAGCAGAAAGGAAACAGAAAAAGGGGAAGGGTAGAAACTGTTTGAATCTCGGTCGGGACGTCATACAGACGTGATTTGAGTTTTTTCGCTCTCTTCCTTGCTTTGAGTTTTTTATGTTTTTGTTTTTTTTCGCGTCTTTTCTGTTTTTTCCTCCCTCAGCAAAATATTATATGCCACTTTGACTTGAGAGCGCACCAAGTTGCGTCTTTCGCAATTCAGCACCCGTGCTGCAATGAAGGAGGATTGGCACCCAACACCTTATTTGAACACATTTGCAAATTGTGACTACATATTTATTGTATTATTAAGTGTTTACCCTTTTTGCATGCTAATAGCATTCTCAACTTCCTTCACGAAATCCATGACAGGACAGAACACAACTAAAGAGATAAACAGACAATCAGTACAATGATCAATTTTATAGTTAAACCTYGCTAGAGCCTAACCTGTTATATTTCTAGGGTCTGGTCGGCAAAGCAAGTCTGGTTTGGTGTTGTAAAGCTGTTCTCCATATCCATCATCTAAAGCTGATGTCTTAACAATTATACAAAGAAACATTATGGATTGTAAGGAATCACTGATCAATCAAGCCAGCCAATCAACCAACCAAAATATCAATCATTATCAATGACATTCTATCAGTCTAGTTAATCAATAATTCGTAACTCAGAGAGACAGTCAGCCATTCATAAATTAACCAAACTGTCTGTTATGTTCGTTTTTTGTCTTGCTTTATTGAATTGATTTCGTTCTTACACGCTTGCACTAGGTAACTAACGACACGTGTCTTGCAATCTATATATGTAAGTAATTTGATACTAAATCACGTGGTAAAAGATTTAACAGTAACGTAATACATAATAGGTAAATATATGTGACACTGTCAAACAATCATGACCTAAGTCAATAATTAAATTAGACATTTTTAGTTCTTTTCAATCAGTCTGAAAAGTCTGAAAGTCTGTAATTTGTACAGTAAATCAATGACAATCACTGTCAGTCAATCATTCAATCAGTCAGTCAGTTAACTATTGTTACTAACAATTGATCAGTAGGTAAGAGTACACATACCCCAGTTCCAGCCATGCACTGTTTTCGTCTTTCACGAAGGTACAAATTCATGCTAATGGCTGATTTTGAGCCTTCAAACCTGAACAAATGTTTCTACAGCAAGAAAGAGCAGTTAATAACAAAAACTAATATTTATGATAAAATACACCTACTTGCGAAAACGTTGTCATAAAAAAATAGAAAGTTTGTATTTTAGTAAAAAGGAATAAATTAAAAAAGACAAAAGAAGATCACTGAGGCTGAACGCTTTCTTTTGTCTTGTTTTAATTTATTCCTTTTTTCTAAATTCAAATGTTCTATTTTCTATGACAACGTTTCTGCAAGTAGGTGTAGTTTAAATATTAATCAATCAAAGAGTGGGTCTTTTTAAGTACTATTTAATAGTAATAATRGACCACTCAAAACCATTAAAAAATAATAAAATGGTATATTAACTTCACAACAGGAAACCTTCTAATAACTTAAGTAGTATAAGGGTTACAAATTAATTTAGTATCAAAATATTTACCTTATTAAACAATTATAATTATATTATAATACTCAGTACKATGACAGTCAAATCTTAAGTACCTTGGGTTCAGTTTTTGAAGCCCCTCTTCGTCTTGGTGCAAAAAAAGAAGAAATATCACTGAAAAAGAAATCCAATGTTATAAAATAGTCAGTTATAACTACACAATTACATGTATGTAAATGGCAAATCTACCTGTCAGACTCGGAGAAGGACGCAGAAGACTGTTGTGATGCAACAAGACTTTGAACATCAAGATAGTCATTTAGAAGAACTTGAAGCTGGTAATGCAAAGTTAAGCATAGTTAATGACTTGTCTGAATTGAACATCAAGATAGTCATTTAGAAGAACTTGAAGCTGGTAAAGCAAAGTTAAGCATTGTTAATGACTTGTCTGGAGTTGAACATCAATATCGTTATACCTTGGATCATTAATGGTTTAATGGTCATAAAGGTAGCATAATGACGACATACGGTTTATAGCGATGCAGAAGTGTACCATAATGGCGAGGTGGTGATGAAAGTAATTATAATGGCTGCAGGCATCTTGTAAGAACACAACACTTCTTTCACTTTGGTGAAATATACATGACTGTCACTGAATGTCAAGAATACTTCGGAAGAGCATTTAACTAAAAGAGGATTAATGGGAAATGAATTTTCCCTGTATGGGGGAGGGGTGGAAACGGATGTACACACTCAGGCTACTGAAGAAATTACAAAATATTTTTATTGAAAAAACAAACTACATGATTGTAAAACACTAGAAACATGACTGAAAAACAGCATGTTTACTCAGTTTGTACTTTCATCAATCACAAGGCGCATTTCAGCAAACATGCAGTAATTGTATACTTACTGCAAACTGTATTTCATACCAAACCACATCAATTTTGTACACCATGGTTTGACCTGAAAATAAAGAAATATATTCAATTGCTTTTATCTTCAATGCAATCAATGCAGTATGTTGTACAGTGAGTCTAATAAGATTGATCCAGCATGCTTACCTAGATCATTATCATGCCTGTCTGTACCTTTCTCCTAAGAAATTTAAACAAAGAGAGTGAATTAATTAATATAATAATTATAAAGTATTAAATCATTAATTTAATTGAAACTGCAATAACTACATGTACAAGTGTGTTACCTTACAAAATTTAATAAACAGTCAGTGTATTAGAATTATTTATAAAATGTCTACTACTTGACGTGTAACTGTGTGATTGCAGCAGCATCTAGGATCATTTTCTTTGGAAATGACTGTACGTAGTACATGTACATGCAAAAAGTGCTATGTCGTGTTGTATTTGTATTCAACTTAAAATTGTTCTTTCCAGCAATCTTAGGGGCGGAGCTTTAGTTGAACTCACTCAGCTATTATTTGATTTATGTACTGTACATGTAACTAAATGCTCCTTCTCCAAGTCTCAGAACAACTCAAATCCCATCTACTTAGTGCAATAAGCTCAGTAAATAAAAATCAACAAATCCAAGAAATGCCAAAACACTAAGCTTCAAAAACTATCTTTCACTAACAACCATTAACCATGCATGATTAATAACAGCACTGAATACTCTCTCACTGAACCAAAGAGTAATAAAAGCATTTTGCCAAAGGTCTTGTAGAGGTCTTCTGCAGCAGCAATGATGTCAAGTACTTACAATAAGTCTATGTATTGTTGATAGCAGCATTGATGTCATTAAGGCAACACCACGGAACTTGTCAAATATAACTTCAACTAATTCTAGCAGAAGATGAGGCTGATTCTGTAATAAAAAAAAACACGGAGATGTAACTACATGCCCTAAACATCAGTTAGTTCAGGTCCACAAGCAAAATATCACTTCTAATCAGATGTTACTTGTAACATTTCTCAATAGAAATCAGTGACCGCAAAGCTCACCTGTTGTGCAATGGATTCTCCTTCTTTGCCAGCTCTGAGGAACAAAATGGCATCAGTACTTGACTGATAGTGATGATACAATGTTTAAGAATGTAATTAACTGTATAATTGTCACCATCTGCCTTCTAATTAATACATAGTCATATTTAAACTCTAATCCATGGCTCAATTGAGAGCTTACTACAGCTAATAACTTGAGCAACGTTTGATGGTTATATTTAACTGTACACACATCATATACATTACATGTCTGTAGACAGTAAATATTTAAATGTACATTATTTACAGCATATGTTATAGCATTCAAAATGAAATAACACTGTCCATACATGTAGGATTTCAAACAAACCAACCTTTCAATTACTTGAGAAGTTGCTCTGTGTACTATAAGTGACATCTCAATTTTCATTCTTTTCTTGATRGTCTGAAATCATCCACAGAATTCCATGGCACAGTGAATTACAAATTTTATAAATTTAAATCTCAAATTTGAACTAGTGCACTTCAACTAATCTCAGATAATACATTCATTGTTCTTAATTGTAGGCTGATATATACTGGTATGCCTACTTTGCTTTTACATATTTACTGAACCCCACAGGTCTGATAAGGTCTACTCTACTGTGATCAGATGGCAGCCAAGGGGGTTTATTAGCTGGGTCCACACAATGTACATGAAATGTAATTTTCTGTGTATGTATAAGACAAAATTCAGTGGCTGCAGAATCTTGATATTTCTGTGACAAGTTAGAAATAGGTTCTTTGCATTACAAAAATATATCGTGTGAGCAATTATTATGCATAGCTATATGATTTTGAGATATATTTGACAAGGCAAATCAGTTCCACTCAAGATTTCATCCGGTACAGTTGTGGCTTTCCTTATCTCTCTTTTAATTTTATTTTTTTTTTTTTTTGTTTTTATGTCTCAATGTATTATATCCCATCACACTTGGTCACATTTCCATTTAAGCAACGTGAATCCAAATGAGCCTATGTATGTTTTATTTAGTAAACCATTTCCTTGCCAAAGCTACTTACATCAATGGCTTCAGGTATTCTTCCTAAAAGGGCCAAAGATTCAACCAGTAATGTCATAAAGCAATCACTATCTTCTTCTGGATCTACATTCAAGTCTTCTACATGTTGAAAATTCTTAAAACATAAATACAGTACATGTAACTCCAAGTCACATGATGTTCTTGTCCATTATTATTTGTAATATAACAAAAATTAAGGTTGCAATGACAAGAATGTACAGTCATGTACAGTGTACCTCTCTTTCTTGATTAGGAATAGTGCTTGTAGAGTTTCCATTCTCAAGCATTAGAGATCCTGAATAGCAATGAAAAATCTCTTGGAAGGTGGACTACAAGACTTACATGTATTAATATCAAATGTCATTCTTACTTGAAGCTGACCGTGCATGTGTCTTTTGAAAGTTTCCCCCTGGGTCTTGGATGCTTGGAAGGTTGTCTGAAACTAACAGAAAGTTCATCCTATTACTAGCTATTCAATATTGCAGCATAAAATTGTACAACATGATAATTTTAACCTCTGGGATCATAACTGGTCCCACAATTTTTTTTTGCATATTTTTGGTAAGAATTTTATTAAGTACATATACATGTGTACATACAGTCAAGTCTAGCACCTTACGGACACCCCACCATGACAGACACCTTGATATCACGGACAGGAAGTACTGAATCCCCGCCACAAAATGTACAAAGAAATGACTGAAAGTACATGTAACTCCCCTATTACAGACTACTGCGGACACTAAATTATGTGTGAAATCTTTTGAGCAATTGGAGATAAAATCTGTTGTGTAGCTGCTACAAACTCATGTGATRTCCACTATAGATTCTTGAGCATCGTGTGCTCAATGAGCGAGATGAAATGTACCTTTGAGATGCTTTGGCTTTTTTGGAATGTTATTGTCATTGCTACCAGACAATAGCCTCGGTCTTTCCCGTGGCTTACAAGACTTGATGTAAAGATGCTTATGAAGCTCCTCTATCAACACCTCATGAAATACCTGCCAGAAAAACATGGCTTTACAACAATAAATACTTTAAATATGCACTTGGGGTTCATTATCCTCTGAAAGTCTCAAATACCATGGTTCAGGGCTCCCATCAATAACAGATGCACATGCAACTGGTGGGACCACGCTGAGCTTTATAATAAATTATACAAGACCTTTATTTATTCATTCATGRGTTTCCATGACTTTTTCCACAACTTCTCATTGTTTTCAATTATCAAAACACATACTGGAGTTCCATACTGGAGACCACTGGTCAATCATAAATAAATCAGTTATGAAACATGAAACATCACAGCTATATYAACAAATAACTGTTTTGAGAGACCTGTTTCTTGGCTTGTAAGTCCAGCCTCACGTGGCGTAAAGCTTCAACTCCTGATAAACTGCCTTCAAGGAGAGATACTGCACCAAAGAAACAATTCATTAACTATTGAAGTCAATCAAACAACTGAAAACTGACAGCATGATAGTGATGAATATTTTGCATGATATCAGCTATATTCACCTGTAGAGACAAGTAGTTCTGTAGCATGGAGATAGTATTTCTGTCTTTTATACTCTTCAATCTGTTCTGGTACATTCTTTACCTGATCACTGAATCGAACATTATATTACAATATGTCAATGAAATATTTAAATAGAACTTACATATTGTATTATCTAAAACTTATTTAGTAACTACAAACATACACATGATGTACTAGTATACCTCAACTGGGACACTATAAACTACACTACAAAGTATTTTACTGTCAAGAGAAATTGACTTATAAAAGGGTATAATGCTTCAATATACATTTAACTGTTCAAAGTCAAGTTTAAAATAGGAAYTTCGGAAATTAACTAWTAACRTTTTATTTCATGRACATATTGTACATTACATGTACACACTCTATCAAAGTCTTCAAGCCCGTCAAATAAATTTAAAAAAGTTAGTTTGTTGAATGAACTCCAGATAATGCTACAGGGAACAAAAGGATTTTCTATTATTTCCCTGCCTTAACATGCAATATTTTCCCTAAACTGGGATGAAATGACAAAACGAATGGAGACACTCACATTCTATCCAGTAAGTTCAGTACTTCATTATATTCCATTCCTTCCATCCAATATTTTTTTAGGTCATCCCGCTTGCATCTCAGCAGTGTTTTACATGATAAAAGACTATCTTTTAGATTCTTTACTTTTGCACGAGAAGCTGACATGTAAAAAAAACATGAAGCATTTAATGATTAATTATTAACTAATCCAGTAAGCAAACACCTTTACAATTTCCCACTTTTTTCCTGAATAATAAGCTCTGTTAAAAACTTCCTCATAAATGTTTACAATCTTGAGCAACCTCTGGGGTTATGTTAAAGTTGCAGTAAATGTAGTTATATACACAGTATCCTGACCCAACTACCTTCAATTCKTGATGCTATGCCAGTAAAAGTCTGTATTGTAGACTTAAGGTGTTCTTGTTGCTCTGCAAGATCAAAATGAATGTTGAATTGACTTTTTTTTTCAAATATTTTAAAAGTAAATCCTTCTCAGCCACCCTTGTCATTGAGCCAAATAGTGCTAAGRAATCTATATAACTCAGCACAACTTAGCACTATTCAACTACTAAAGTTTTTCATGGTTTTCGTGTTTGCATTTTAGCATAGTTTTTATTTTTATTTTGTGAATCTTTGGCACAGAAGGTCACGTGACAGAAACCCCGAAAGTAATTGTTGTAGAACATTTGTGGTCCACATACCTTCAACAAGCTTATTCAGCTCTGCATCGCGTTCCATAAACTCATACTGCAGCCTCTCTCTTTCAGTYTGTCGCTGTTTTATGTCCCCACTAAAATATAAATGAAAACGAACATTCAGACGACAAAGATGTCACTGACTTGTCAGAACAAAATCCTACCTTTTAGAAAGCGTACGAATCACRGACAACAGCTTTGAAGACTGAAAAATAGATAATTCCAATAAGTTTTTATAAATTTGTCGCTTAATATTGTGAATTAAGGCGCAATTTACCGTCGAGTCGTAGTAGATGTTTTTGGGAGGCCTCGACAGCTCCATCTTGGATTGTTGTTGATGGGGCGTGTTTGCTGCACATGAATTTTCTGCATTGCGGGCTTATTRTAACACAGGGAGCCCAAAATTAATTGACATTTTCATTKATGATAAAAGTCATTCTCCTAAAAATTGCTCAATAATAGAAAAAAGATACCGTTTCACTCTTCGATAACTTGTTGAATATCTTATGGAAAGTAGCTTATTCTMTAAAAGAGGGCGCGACGAACTTTGAGTGATCAAAAAAAGTCAAACGTCAGGCAATCGATTTYAGAAAAACCATAGAAGTAATAGCCCTAATAGAACGAGAGAGATGAAAATAAAAGTCTGAAATAAAACTGTTCGACAAGGATGTAAGTAAGTTTAGTTAGTTGTTACAATAAGTCTATGTATCTGAAATAAAACTGTTCGACAAGGATGTAAGTAAGT